TAGTGCACTGTGTGCTTCAACTAGGCCAAGCTCACGGACGGCCACGAGCCTTGCGAGCCAGTCCTCCCGGCGCCTTGCGACCCAGGCGTTCAAAGCCATCATGGGAGTCAAAGAGGGAGGCGAGGAGGGAGAGGTAGGGCATGAGGTCAGAGTAGATGGCTACCCTGAAGTCGAGGATAACGTGCGTCTTGAGCTTGTTCGGCTTGGCAGAGCAGTGCACTATTTCCTGTGCCAGCTTGGTCTTGTCGGTAGTGATGTTGATCATGGAGTCCACCACCTTCAGGAGCTTGCCGTACTCCGTCTTGTCCACGTGTTCTGGAGGGTTGCCCTTGGTCAGTTCGTGGAGGAGAACTAGGGAGACCGCATTCGAGCATGATCCCTCGGGGTGAGGTTCGCCTTGGCGCAGCTTCTTCAAACCTCCCTGCCAGGATTTCACAGACGCAACTAATGCCTTCGAAAGCTGATGGTCTTGAGGTAGTTTGTAAACCAGTGATAGCTGGTGTTGCAGCAGGCTCATTTGGTCGTCGTGCACAAGGAAGGCTTTGGTGAGCTCTTCCAGGCTCAGCGCCTGGATGGCACCAGATTGCGCCCGAGGCTGGGTGCCTTGCCCAAACCCTTGGATCGCACCAGGTCCTTTCTGCCTCGGGACTGATTTGCGGCGAGGCTGGTCTTGCTGCCTCGGCAGGGCAGCGGCCTTGGCCGCAGGCGAGAGTGACTCGAGTGGAGGCTCTTCAGAAAAATCCATTCCCGATGCGTCCTCATTGTCTGTGCCGTTTCTGGAGCGTTTGTGCTCCGGACTCTTGACGGCGACAGGGGAAGCGGTCATGCCGGCCGTGTAGTCGGAGCGGAAGCTATACAAAAAGAGGGCGAGCTGATTGAGAGGAAAAAGTATTGCGGTATGTGCATATCCGCGTGCGCGCGTGACGCACTTGGCCTTGACGTGAGGTGGCCTATGCCAACTTTCAATTGACTATAGGCTTCTCACGCACGGGCGCCCCGCAGTGCCCTAGAGGACGAAGCTGGGCCGGAATGCATCACCTAGCGATGATGCTAGCGAATTCGTTGCAAGAAAAGCATGTAGACATTCCTGGAGATGGACAGGTTCAAGGCCGCTGAGGCCTTTTCCGGAAACCTGTAGTCGTCGGAGATCCAAACCTGAGAGGCGGTATCCGCTGGGTCCTCTGGCCAAAAAGCGCGGTAGTGCCCAGAAGAAAGGGAGTCCCCAAAATGGGCAACTCCTGCTATGACCTGATAGTGACGCTGAGTGCGAGCATCACTTGAGGTCCATACAGGCACCGTGGTGCGGCCTGACCAAAGACACGGCTGAGTGTTCTTGACTCCATCCTGCCAGCGGCAAATCACAATGGCTAGGAGTTCAGGTGACCAAACTAGCGCGCGGGAGAAGATCTGGGACTCCCACAGCCGTAAGCAAGTCGAGAGTGACAGAGGGCCAGGCGGGAGGGGAAGAAGGAGTGGGCTGACTCCCACATCTGAATCCTCAACCTCGCCATCTGTACGACCCTGCCACTGGGTTTGTTGAAGGGAGCCGAAAGGCTTGGACTGCATATGCAGAAGCAGCTCTGAGACATCATGCTGTCTGCCGTCCAGTCGCCAGCCTGAGATGGCATGGCGAAATTCAAACAAGCCGAACAGGTTCAGTAATCTGGGGGCTCGCTCGTCGCCTAGATGGGATAGGACGGACTGGAAAGCACCTAGGTCATACCCAAAGCTCGAGATCTGGTGCAGAGCCTGGAATAGGGCATTGGCGTAACACGAGTTGGACGTGTTAGTCAGAGCGCGTTTGTGCACTCCTTCGGGTCTAATTTCCGCTTGTCCTGAGGACTGCGGATCAGACGCCTGCTTGTCTGCCGGGGCGTGACGAGCTGTGCTCGACTGATTGGAGGCTGTGCCATTCGACCGTGGCTTAAAGAAGTGGGTCAGTGACCGTTCTTGGGGCTTGGAGGGGGGAGCAGTGACGGCTTCCTCTGCCTCCGGTTGCCCTCGCAGCCACTGTGTACTCACCTGATAAAGTACGGGGCATTGTTCCGGGTGCAGTCGACGATCATAGACCTTGTAGCCGCAGAATGAACACGGGTGTCCCTTGGCAAGGTGAGGCGAGAAACCCTGACATATAGAGACTGCGCGCTTGTGCAGCCTTGACCAGTCCTTAGGATGCGCCTGACGGAAGTGTGACTTGACTTTAGTGTGATCGAAAGTCCAGAAGTCACACGTGAGGCACCTATGGATCAGAACCCGGGCCTCCGGCGTCTTTGAGATCACCGCTATTCGATGTTGTGGGAGTTGGGCAATGTCCTGTCGCAGCTGGGACAGGGTCCTTACCTCAGGGTGACTTGAGTGTTTGTCAGTCACGTTCAGAGTTCGAAGCTTCTGGGGTTCCGGACATGCTCCTGACAACAAGTGGTCACGAAGACCTTTCCATTGATGGAATTTGCGCATGCAAGCGGCACATTGCGGCATCCCATCCACCGCGTGGAGTTGTCGATCGAAGCTTGATGGCACAAATCGGTCAATGCTGGCTGGATGCACTCTCGACTTGTGTAAGTGTAACCCGTTTGCTGTCTCGAAAGAGGCATCGCAGAGTGTGCATGCATGTAGGGCTACAGGGTGCTCAACTGTTTCAGGGAGCTGTGACATGAAATGCAGCTTGTCCCGGATGACTTGCAGGACAGAAGGATCGGTTGTGATATCTGGGCTTCTGGCTGCACGCCGCTCAAGTTTGCGGAGTCGCTTCCTGAGCTTGACCTGCATCGCTTGAACTGGGTCCTGTATGCTATAAAGCTGGAAGAGGTCCTTAGTGGTGATGCGGCTGGTGTGTGCTGGCAAGTTCAGCACTGATCGCACCTTGTAAGCATGCCAACTGCGTAGCTGCTTGGCCGACTCCTCGCTGAGTCCGACGTCTGAGAGGCCTGTAGTCAGTGTGCTCAGGACTGTGCTTTGCCAAACCTTAAGTCTCGACATGGTGCTCGCGTGCCGGCGATTGTAGACAAACTGGCGGACTTGATGCAGCTTTTGCTTGGCTTCCCCAATGCGGTAATGTAAGGACTGCAGCTCGAAGTGGTTGTAGGAGCTCATAACCCCCAGGTACTTGCTACAGGAGACCCACTGGAAGGCGGGGAACGATTTATTGGGCCCTATGCGCCATCCGCGAACCTGCTCGCCCTTGGAGTTGGTGATCCAGCAGCCGTGTTTGTTCATCACGTTTTGGG